TGTCCCTTCAAAGGGGTTATATGGGGGTTTCCCAAAATTAGGGGTACCTACTATAATGGAGAATCAAATGGAAAAGAAAATGGAAAATGAAATGGAAACTGGGATTATATAGGGGTTTATAGGGATTAGGGTTTCCCAAAATTAGGGGTACCCTTTTTGGGGGTCCCTAAAATAAGGACTATAGTATTTGGGGGTCTATATTGGGGTCCCCCTATTTTGGGAAACTACCATTTCGGGTTGAGGACTGAGTTTGTTGTTGGGAGGTCGAGGGCTTCAGAGCCAGTGCCTAGTGGATGAGGATAAACGGAAAAGGAGGAATGGGTGGAGAGCTTTGGGTTCATGGGTTTAGGTTTCCAAGTCACAGCTGATCTGAGAACTCTAGCAGTCTCTCCATACAAAAGTGGTAGCTTCCGGTTGTTCGAGGGCTATCGGGGGGCCACCCGTGATACATCCTTGGACTTTGGATGAAGTCTTAGGTATCTCTGGCAACACCACGCATACCCCATGACTATGTATGGAATGTTCATGAGAAGTAGAGTTCATACATCAGTTCTGTTTGCATCTAACTCGGCCCGTACACCACTAAACCAGAAACGCCTGGAACCCTAAATCTCCAACCACTACAACCAACATCCCTCATCCCAATGCCAAAGCCTGAACTCTACACCCAAAACCCGAACCTCTGAACCCCAACATCAAAAATCCCAAACCCTAAATCCTAAACCCTGAATCTAGACCCTAAACTCATGGATATCTTGAAGGTGAGGAGCAAGGCCCAAGAGGGCCACGGCAAGAGTACGAACCATCATGGCCTGGGTCTGGTTTCTAAGCATCATTTTTAGGGTTTAGGGTTCAGGGTTTGGGTTCCCTCTGTGATGAGATGGAAAATGGAAACTACTGTGTTACTTCAGGTTGAGGGCTTAGGGGTTAACAGTGGCTACCAGGGCATCATTGTAATTACCATCAAGCTGCCTGCACATCGGGGTTTCCATAATATAGACCCACCGAAATATTATATTCCTTTCTATGGGTACTCCCAAAAGGACCACCCCCCATATTCCTATCATTCCACGATGACTGGGTGGTAACCCTAGACCCCAACCCCTAAACCTAAATCTAAGCGCTAAGCCCTAAAACCTAAACCCTAAACCCTAAGCCCTAAATCCTAAACCCTAAACCCTAAGCCCTGAATCCTAAACCCTTGAACCCTAAACCCTACACCCCACACCCTACATAAACCCTAAGGACAGGCTCCAGGTTGACTTTGAGCCCTGAGGTAATGTATCCTTGTGACGCCCTTTAGGGCTAAGGGTTTAGACAGTAAAGAATGGGGCAGGTTCAAAACTGCCCAAACAAAAATGAAAAAACTGTTCATGAATACCCACGCCGGATGCAGAATGTCAAGAAACTCCCATGAAAATGGCTGTCCATGGCAGAGAGTGCGTGCAACAAGGATCCTGATGCATGAAGAGCTCACAAAAGGGTCATGAGGATGGTAATTCCACCGCTAGGAGATGTTGCTCTGAAGGGGAGTATCTGTGGCATACCTCAACCACTCGACTCAGTCCCACGACAGGCCGGCATGGAAATTTCCGAGAAAATCCAGAATTCTCAGCCCATGCATCTTTTCGGAGCCCTGCTTCTATAGGGTGTATATAGTGGGGTTATATAGGGGTTACATAGGGATGATGGAGAAGAAAAAATGGAAACTACTATTGTATGTGGTCCCAAGCTATGTGCATTCTCCCATCTAAAGTCGAAGCCAAGCTGCGGCTGTTTGGTCGCAATCTGCTCCACGAAGCTACTGCAAAGGCGGCTCTGGCTCACCAATGTGCCTAGTGGAGGCAATTCTGCAAGTAGAAGATGTGCAAATGCATGCGGCGAATCGACGTTCACCCAAGACGCTGAAGCCAAGAAGGGCGGCGAGGTTCTACTTCAGGACAAGGCTGCTATCCCATCTAAATCCTACTTCCTAATGATACTTACTAATTGCTAAGTACTCACTACTCATTTCTAATTCCTAATTACTAATGACTAATTGTCAATTAGTAATTACTGATTACTGATTACCACTACGAAGCCACTGAGACTACCACCAGTCTGAATATTTCCTGAGCATGAATCCACTTGATTCTAGAACTCCTGCTCCGGTTGATGCTATGATCACTTTTGATATGAGCCATAGCTTCCCCTCTAATAACCCCTAGAGTAGTCCCCTATATAACCCCCTTTAAAGAGTCTAGACTAAAAAGCTAATATAGCAGATAAATATTACTACTGCTCTTGTAGTTGGTTGGTTAGGTGGACCCCCCACACAGTAATCGTGACTACAAGGGAGAACAAGGAACATATTCAGGGGGCCTCTTATATTCCCATTATACCACTCATGCAGGGTGGGGGGTCCTCTTAAGATATTGGCCTTTTTTCCTCCAGGACAGGCACGTGGATTCCACGCCCCCTCAGGGCTGCTCCCTCGTCGTGCGCATGCGCGGGGACAGCGAGGACTGTCAATGGCCAACACAATATCCGGCACAAAACAAATGACAATGATGCCCCAGGACCTCAGCATATCCTATGGCATGGACCCCAGGCATATACTGTACTATACTATACTAAACTATATTACACAAGTTCAACATTTTACAATTTGAAAATAGACATGCAGTTGTATGGAAGACAAGTACACCTTTAGGTGCCTCAGAGGACTCTTTGCTGAAGATTCGAGCAAGGCAAGTCATCGTCTGCAGAGGCGCTGACAGCAGCTTTTTCACCAAGTACCACTTACGTGCTAGGAGGTCCAGAGTGAGTTAAAACAGAAATGGGTTTAGGGTTTAAGGGTTTAGGGGTACTGAAAACTTATAACAACTGCGGAAATGCAGTAAAGTAAAATGCTGTGCTTTCCGCGGAAGGTATGATGATGCAATCCGCTAGCGTGGCATGTTCCGCCCTGCCGCCTCTATGAACTACCACTAGACCTTGTGGAAAGCGCAACTAGGACTTGGGGATAGCCCCGCACAACCCAGTTGCAACAGGCGTCCCTGCATTAGTAACCGGTACGCTATAAAGCCCAGACCTAGGCAAGCGCTGTTCGCCTACCTAAACCTCAGGGCCCTGCCTGCGGAAACATGACCCTAAGAATTACCTGAAAATCTGGTAATGGGAAGTCCTAGTGCCCACTGAGTGCGGAATGGTGCCAGTCTCCTGTTCTCGAGCACGCTCTTTACTGATTCAGCCGTGTTCATCGTGCCAGCAAGGACGCACACTTCTTCTCTACGTCATGGAAACCTGCATGCTGCTCCCAACCCTGTAGCACAGAAGCAGGCTGCTCTAATTAATAGGGGTTGTAGAAACGCTATTTTGGGGTTATATAGGGGTTACCTTGGGATGTTGGAAAAGGAAATGGAAACTATTACAATAGTATTGTGGCACACGCCCTGAATCTCTGCAGCCCCAGAAGACCCTGCAGTCCGATTCAGCCTAGGGCGTGTCATTGAAACCTGTTGTGATCGTGACATGCTTCTTTCGAAATCTGCATCGGCATTGGTATGTGCCAAAGTCTCAATATGAGCCAGAACAACTAAATCCTTAATGCGCAGACCTATGAAGGGACCGCATTTTTCCAAGCCCTGCAGTAACTCCGGCGCACTTCCGTATATGGTTCCGAAGTTCACCCCGCACGCCCCGCATTGGCGTCAAGCCGTCGATGGCATCTACTCTTACACTGTTAACCCAAAATACTAAACCCTAACCCTCTGCCCTAAACCCGAAATCCTAAACCCTTTACCCTAAACTCTAGATCCGCCCCAAAAAGCCTGCACCCTAAACCCTTAACCCTTTGCCCTAAACCTGAAATCCTAAACCCTCTACCCTCGACTCTAAACACCCCGTGAAACCTGTACCCTCCACCCTAAACCCTAAACCCTAAACCCTACATCCTACACTAAATCCTACACCCTAAATCCCATTGGTTGTCCTGCGGCAGCAGATGAAGTGACACGACATGCACGAAGCGACGCCGAGGCCGGGGATAAAGCCCACCGGCCACGAGGTCACGTGGCATCGACCCCTCCAATTCGGCTAGGTAGCTTCTGTAGGGTTTTATAAGGTAATATATAGTATATGTAAAGGTGTATAAGACTTTATATGAGGGGGTACATAGGGCTATATAGCGCTGGAAAGGGGTAAAGAGGGTTGTAATGACACACTCAGTGGATAAAGAAATACAAGATGAAAGTGGAAAGTGGATTGATGTGGAGATTTAGCGCTTAACGTCTAGGTAGGCATAGTACAAAGCACAACGACTGTCTATGCTCATAATTCTACGGGACTGTAGGATACCCCCTGCTTGTTGATTGTGACTCGGGTTGTCCCTACATAGGAGTTCGGCATGTCTCTGATCTAGGTATGATGGAAACCAGCAGCGAGTGCAGCAGCACTAATAAAAGTAAACCCTAAACCCTAAATAGCAGTTGCCGTCTTATTTTGCATTATCCCTATATAACCCCAACATAACCCCAATGTAAGTAGCAACACAAGAAGTAGCTCGAGCTAGCGTACTGTCGTAGCTGCAAGGCTGGCACTGTCAGTGTTGACACAGAAAAGAAGGCCCGAAGAAGTAACAACTATGTCAGCCCACGACATGATAGTAGCAGTGCTGGTACTGTCAACGTTGACACAGGAAGGAGGTATCAGAAGAACTAACAACTCCATCCACGACATGAAGCCTGTTTGGCAGTCCAACTCCCCAAGCTAAACCATCTCTTCCTATTCCTAACATTAGCGGATTTCTCATGGAAACTTCGAAGCTGGAACCATGCGAGGGTGGGTCCCTTGTCTCAAATCTAGCGTTGCCACCACCGGTTTGGAGAAGGGAGCTCTAAAAGTACTTGTAGCGCTGGCATGCGGCTGGATCTCTTCGGTCGTAACCCGAACAAAACCTGAACTTGAGCAGCAGGAAGAGCGTGCAAAATGGGCTCTGCGTACAGCGACTTGGACTCCTAAGAGTGCCTGTCTCAACCAAGGGGGGACCTGGCTACACGGGAAGAAGACGGCTAGGTCTGGGTTGCTTTTGGAATATGAACTGTGCTTACTGGCGGTCACACCTTGGCGAATACCCTCGAAGCGCTGAGCAGACGATTCTCGTGCTCAGCATATCAGTTGTGCAGTCGATTACAGTGAAACACTTGTGCGTATGCAGAGAGTGAAAACTGCTGGCAGCCACCCTGGGGGTGAAGCTGCGGTGCAGGCAGGAAGCCCTCCTTGCATATTCTTGGCCCTTGTTGCTGGTCTATTGATGATTTACGCGCCGTCTACATTGATTACTATGTGGTTGAGATGACGGCTGTAGATACTCATGCTTCAGGCTCATCTTAGGGTCGGGGCTACTTTTCGATTCATACTGATTTGGCACATGCGAAAAGGCCCTTGAAAAGGAAATATCAACTCCGCATGAGGCTGGCTCCCCGTGCTCGCCTGGGGTTAACACTCCAGTCTCCTGGTAGAGACCCCCCAAAACCCTGAATCCCTACAATGAGAAGCCAGCACAGACGCCGGAGCATTTCAAAAGAAAATATCCTGCCGAAAATGAAGCCTGATGCAGCCGTATCCTCGGGAACGCATAACGATATTGTCGTTTCCAATTGAGGCAGTGTTGGTGGTTGACGACACCCATATGCCATGATCGATCAGCTACTGCCTTCCCACAGTACTCCGCTACAAGCTTGATAACAGTCATAATGGCCATGTAAGACCCAAGAAAGGAACGAGCATGAATCTATCCAGTAACCCGTAACCCTGAACTCTAAAGCCC